TTTTTTTTTTTTTTTTTTTTTCCTGATCTTCTCATCATGCACACTTATAACAGATATCCATGGTATGCAGTGTGATCTTCTGACATCTTTCATTATTTGGAAGTGAAGTTTACAGGAAATGCTATTGCACGATCACATTGTTGAAAACAGCAGGAGTCTCTAGCCTGAAGTTTAGTGTAGCAGCTTTCTAAATACTAGACACTGGGTCACCCTGATAAGTGATACAAGTGGGAATTAAGTTGCACTGAGCAAGAAGGTAGCTGCTGAGCTAGCTCTCACACTTCCTTTCTGAGGTGAAGCTGACCTGTGAGACCATGGGTTTCTATTATCAAGAAAGAAGCAACACAAGAGTCAGAGACAGCGGCTTGATGAAGAGATAAACCTAAATTGCACCAACTAAAACATCATTATGACTTAGAATGTACAAATAGGTCTTGGAGTTGCCCACGTTGCACCATGTGATGTGGTGTGGAAATGCCAATGTAACTTTAAACGAGCTGGATCACCTCCCTGAAGTGGTTATTTGTTTTCTTCTATATACAGCCTTCGTACTCCAAACTATTTAGAGATGATGGCATCTCTCAAAAGGTTAAGCGAATCACTACATCTGCTGAGGACACCAGGAACATGTTCAATAAAGAGTAAACTATTTCAGTGACAGGATGACCACTAGAAATAAAGAAGTTTCAGGCAGAAAAAGCAGCCAGAAAAGCTGTACAGCAGCCAAGGCAAGGTAAAGCACTAGGCCAAAGCTTGCTGAAAAACAGCTATTTCAGTGACTGGTTGGTTGGTTCCTTTTCCCTAGGTTGAGAAGATTACATATGTTTTATTTTATTTTGTGCTATCCATCTATGATACCTTCCTCATTTTATTAGATTACCCCCTAAATTTGGTTCCACTGACAGCCCACAGAGACACTTATTTTGGCTGAGTTCCCTTTCCAAAACATAATTATTTTCGTATCCCAGCTGCAATCACAAATGCCAACCAGGGTGAAGATTTTGTTTAAGGAGATTTAACACTCAATTTACATTAAGTACAGTAATGAACTGATTGTGCAGAATGGTCTTGGACTATGAAAATAACTATCAGCTTTTTATTGTTTATAAGCAGTGTGACAAAGTTGAAGAGCTGAAATTTCAGTTATCCTGCAACCCATTGTTGTAAAGTATCCTTCAGTTTCACAATACAAGAACCAGTATTATGGTATAAAAATAATGAAAGCATGTGAAATTTAGGTAAGACAGATTCAGTATGTACTCCTTTGCAAAAGAAACAAACAAAAAACTGCAGGTAAAAATAATAAATGGTACAGATAGCAAATAAACGAAACATTAAAGATATATACAAGCAAATCCTTCATTTTAGTGCAAGTGGATGACGGTGTTACCAACCTACTCAATGACCTCACCAGCTATGTAATTATCAGATAAGCAAGATGTTATGCCTTTAACTAGTAAACACCTTTGAATAAATCATTATAATTACATATAAAGCACAATGCCTAGCTGTGTGCAAATTGAAAAGGAGCTGGAGGGAACTCCATTTCTCAGAAGCAGTTAATTTCCTTCCCTTGTTTATTGTTACGCATCCTGGCCAGGGATTAATTTTATCCCTAACTCCAAAGGATACACTGCACTGTGTATCATTTGCCTTCAGGACACAGAAGTGTGATCAATATGCATGTACCAAAGAGAAGCAAAGGAAAAAGGGTCCTCAGACATAGCATGTTTCTGAGATAGTGCTCAGGAAGTAGAACATTTAGCTGCTAGGAACAATTTTTCAGGAGAGGTTGAATGCCTGCCATTATTTTCTATTTAGAGTAATCAGACATCTAGCCAGTTACTTCAGTACAGAACAATCAGAACTGAAACATGTCTATTTATAGAAAACAGGACACTTCCTATTAAAAAACAGTGTACACCTAATGCTGTCTCTGGGATCAAGGCTGACAAGAGTGGGCTGACTTCTATTTAAATGTACATTTCTCATCAACTACACTTGAAAAAATGTTCTTGGAAAACAAAAACAAAAGAAGCGTGTGTTACAACAGCTATTTAGCTTTCAAACTCCTCTGTGAATAGGTAAAGACTGGAAACTGCCTCTGTCATTCCCCTCACAGCTTAACTTATTGTGGAAAATGAACATCTATGATAATGAGACCATTGGTCTGTCGCCCTTCTGCAAATGTAATAATTATGAAACTGTGTCTCAGTGAAAAACTGCTAGTTGTATTAATGTTCCAGTATATCACATGGCCCAGGTGAAGGATCCCAACCTGTCAGGCATTGCATTTTAACACAGAAGATCCCTGTCACAGAAATTATGTTTAAAGCAAAGCAGGATACAGAGTGGGAGCTAAAACAGTCTACAATAAAAGGAAAGGAAGAACAAAAGTGACAGTAATAATACAACCCATCTGCACAGAAAAACTCAGGTTTCAAAGTGGTTTTAGAGCTGTTTAATGAAGAAACACTAATAATTTCCATATTATTTAATTTTCAAAGTACACATTATTGTGCTCATTTCCTGCAGACTTCACATCAGAACTGTCTTTGGCAGGACATTTGCAGTGGAAGGTTAAAATTGATACTTCATATTTGACCAATCTACCTCCTTGCAACAAATATGAAGTTTTTCCCACATAAAAGGCTTTGTCTGCAGTTACTGAAATGTTGTGTGCCTTGTTGAGCAAATGAGTGGAGCTCAGCATGCAGGAGCAGTAGACCAGTTGAACAGTGTTAAGTCCCACCTCATGGAGATGTCTCTACTACTTTATATTATTTTGCATGTGCAGTGGAAAAGCAGAAGAGCTGTAATTTCTTAAAATGAGAATATACAATTATGTACACATCCTCTTTCTGAACATCTTTTCAAACCAAGATTTTTTAGCTCAGCCTGTTAATTAAAGCCTACATAAGGAATGTTCTTCTACAGAATTACATTTTATTTTGCCAGCAAAGTGAACCGAATGTGGGTATGGATTATTTTGGCAGTCTGATGCTTTTCTTCATCTATCTTTTAGGTCAGCTCTTTCACCTTCCTCTCGTCCAGTCTATCTAGTCCCATCTTGCAGTCCTATCTTAAAAAGATGTGTATCTCATGTTTACCTGAGAATATAAAGCCAAATTGCTAATTCAAGTACCAGTAACACAGCACTTTGATTCCAATCTGCTGGGACTGCCTTTCAATATTCTTATTCTGAAGGAGTCAAAGTACATGTTGTACAATTCAGAGGACAATACATTTCAAATTAAAATTGATACAATGCACAGATTATAATTTTCAACAAGATACCAATGTTTTCATTGGCTTCAACTCTGATTGTTACTTGGAATAATTAAAATGTTTAATGTGGAAAAATAATCTAAAAGAAAACCTAGGGAGAAAAACAAACATGTTGTTTTTAGCAGCAGTGGAAATAGCAATGCAGAGGCCAATGAAACAATTTACCTTTAACTATAAAAATATTCTGCAGAAAGTTTTTGTATTTTGATATTATCGATCAAAGTGAATAGAAACAAAATGAGAATTGTAGGATTTAGGGTGAGTTTAAGTGTACAGCATATACATTTTATATATGAACTTCAAGAATTTCTGAAGGTGATTTCTAAAATTAAGTGATCTTGTTCCTGCCTTTGAAATTATAATTTTTTTCTCCATAAGCTATGGCATTGGAGGCTGGATTTTGCAGGAAAACTTTTAGATGCATGCAGCTAGATACAAATTCATGGAATTTGTAATCTTTTATGTGTACACACAGAGAAAAATATTATTTGATTTAACCAAATGAGAAAGTTTAATCTCAATACCATAGCTTAAAATTTTATTTTTCAGTGTTAAATTCCTCATTCTGAATTTTGAAATGAAAGAACTTTGAAAATAAATTACAATTTCCATCTTCTATGCTCATCTTTCTGTACTTCATTCATTCTGAGTAATGAAAACGCTGGTCAGCTTTATTTTTGCACTTGTTTGCAGCCTCACCCTAAAAATAATGAATTTAGAAACACTAGAGGATAAGAAGATAACAAGAAACATCCAACATTTGTTTGTCCAGAACACATAATAAAAAACTAGTCTAATTTCTTCTGACAGGGTAACTGATATAGTGAACAAAAGAAATGGTAGCAATGAAACAGTTTGCCTTTAGGAAGACTTCAGACGCTGTTTCTACATAAGATACCTGTCAGCTGACTGCACAGATAATTGAAAAAAGGAACTCTAAACTATCAAAGTGGATTTTTTTTGGAGCAGAACCTCAAAGCATACTCCACTGCACACTCAGTTCTGTTCAACTTTCTCATTAACGAATTGAATGATAAAACAGCAAATGCATTTATAAATAGCAAATGACACCAAGTTGAGTGGAAGTATAAGAAGTTAATACATGATGGAGCCCTGCTTTCCTGGAGATGGCTGAAAACCTGCCTACTGATGGGAAGCAGTGGATTAATTCCTTGTTTTGCTTTGCTTGTGTGTGTGGCTT